CGGCTGTGTTTTCTACCGCGTGTTCTCTCGCCGACCCCAGCGTGCGTAGGCATCACTTAGGGATTTTGTTCAGTGAAGCTGGTCTCTGAGCAGGACTGAGGTGGAGGCTGGAGTTCAGTAGTTCGTACAAGCTCCCCGGAGTGGGGCTCCTACCGCTGATCTGTGAACACCCTACGGGTCGTGGGGTTCTTTCTTGCGACCACCAAAGCCCAAGCGTGCACCCCTGCCTCTGACCCCTAGACAGTGCCATCCGGCAGCCCGCACTACCCCCCCGCCCCCAACCATAGTGCCTATTTAAAAGAAATGAGATCAGATTGAAAAGTCATTTTGTGACTCGCAGTAGCCACGTTTCACATGTTCAACGACCACACGTGCCGTGTTATAGAAGAACAGATATGGAATGTTTCCTTCGTGGCAAAAGTTCCGTTGGGTGGCGCTGCTTACTCTCTCTGCACCTAGGCTGGTCACTGGCGGAACTAGTTACATACGGCCTGGTGCCCTCACCAGACCCCAAGCTCCTTGAAGACAAACTCTGTGTTTGTCTTGCCATTTTTTCCTATCCCCAGAACCTAGCCCGTAACCGTTTTCTCATTTGACAAAACTTGATTCGTCGCCTACTATGCACCAGCAGCTGGGACCAGCGGAGCTTGTAGGGGTGAAAAGCACGAACACGACCTCTAGGCCAGCACAGGTCCCAAGATCGGTGCTCAGTCATCATTCGCTGAAACGAATACGCGAATCAGTTATGTACCAAACGCCTCGGGGAAAATCTTCGTGAGAAATGACTTTCCCCTATTTCTCCCCGACTCAGAAATCTTCACCGGTCATCTCCCCTCTGCCGAAGCAAGTCCACGCTCCGTGGCTTGGGACACAAGGCGCTTCCGAGAGGCACAGGTGCAGCCAGTATGGCTCGTGTGTTGGTGTGCTAGAACCCCCATAGCAAAACACCACACACTGAGGGGCCTGAGCAGCAGATTTACTTCTCACGGGTCTGGAGGATGAAGTCCAAGATCACGGGGCCAGCACGGCTGGTTTCTCCTGAGGCCTCTCTCCTCGGCTTGCGGACAGCTGTCTTCTCTCTGCGTCCTCACGTGGCCGTTTCTCTGCGTGCACCCCACCCCCCCGCCGGTGTCTGCGTGCCCCAATCTCCTCTTCTTATAAAGACGCCAGGCAGACTGGATCAGGGTCTATCCCAACAGCGTCATTTTAACCTAATCATCTCTTGAAAACATTGTCTCTAAATACAGCACCCCTGGGGGTATACTCGGGGTTCAGGCTCCAACATACGAATCTGGGGAGTGGGGTGGGGAACACCATTCACCCATAACTGTTAGGAATATGATTTTGGAATCTCACAAAGCTGGGTTATGAAAGTCACTATTAATGACTGTGCCCATAAGGGGACACTTGACTTGTCTGAGCCTCAGTTTCCTCATCTGAGAAATGATGATGATACTACCTTCCCCTGGGGTCTTAAGATGAACTCAGAGGTAATAGGCACTCAGCTCATTACAGTCACTTGACATCAACCCTCCCTCACACTTTCCCTGCCCTATCCCCTGACACCAGTCTCTCCCTCAGGTCCCTGACACACACACACACACACACACACACGTAAGCCTTGCCTTCCCTCGCCTTTCTTCATACAAACCCTACTCCCCTCCATATTCAAAGCCTAGTCTTACTTCAGGGCTCACATCAGATGCTCCTTCAGTCCTTAGGCAGATGTCAGCTCTCAGCTCCGACTCTCCAAGCTTGGTTAGCATTACCCTCTATTCTACACCATCATCCCATCCAATTAGCACCTATGAAGTAGAACCCAAGTTGTTAATTTGTCTGCTAACTTTTCCTGCATAGAGGCTGACCCTCCCAACTGAATGGTGAGACATCATAGATCAAAGCCGCCATTATACTTATTAGCTTTTCTCACAGCACATATCAATGTGCTCAGAGGAGTTTATGAGTGCAAAAAATACTGATATGTGGGCAATATTCACTGATTGAATAAGAGTGTGTGTGTGTGTGTGTGTGTGTGTGTGTGTGGTCTTAGCATAAAGAAATCATGAGAAAGAAAAACACCAAACTCAGGCTATTGATTCTCTCTTGAAGGATGAGGAGCTAATCCAGGGTGGGTTCACAATCTCGGTAATCTTGTGTTTTGCTGTTTGACTGGGTGGCATCTTCACAATTATCTGTGATACTATTCTCATACCATTTTGAATTCTTTTTTTTTTTTTTTTAATTTATTTTTGGGACTGGGGGAGACAGAGCATGAACAGGGGAGGGGCAGAGAGAGAGGGAGACACAGAATCGGAAACAGGCTCCAGGCTCTGAGCCATCAGCCCAGAGCCTGACGCGGGGCTCGAACTCCCAGACCGCGAGATCGTGACCTGGCTGAAGTCGGACGCTTAACCGACTGCGCCACCCAGCGCCCCCCATTTTGAATTCTTAACTATTTCAAGTTAATGCTCATTAGTCGACACATGTCTGTTGTTGCTAGGTTGACTTATTAACATATCCAACTAATATGTGAGGAAATCTTCTGCCATGAGTGAAAACACTTACAATATTTGTCTTAGAAGAGTTTTAGTTAGGACTTCAGAGTAGAGCTCTTTTAATTAATATTTTAGCTGGCCGGAAATATTTATGAGACATTACCAGCCTCATAAATGCAAATCGAATTTCTATAAATAGGAGAAAAGATAATTTCCTGTGTGTCATATTCTAAAAAGAAAACTTTAATTGTGACTCACCTCCCACTCAGTGAAGGCAGGTAAGAGAAGCTGATAAAGGTGGACGGAGGCAGTACTCTAATTAACAGTGATAACACCCTTGAATTCTCAGTGCTTTCAAGTACTGCCTCATCAATTTTTGGACACTGAAAGACGCACCCAGCATCTTCCAAGCCCCCAGAGCCATTCTTCAATTGCATCTCTTATCCTCAGATGTTGCCCGGGCTCTCTGGGAGACTTGGGCATATGGAAAAGTGAAGGCTCACCTAAATTTGCAAAAACCAGTCAGGACGAGAACCCCCATATCTCTGATTTTTCAGATCCAGGCCAAGAACTGGACCCAGGTTTTCTGTCCCCTGGCCCAAGGTCCCATCGTTGTGAGAATATTTACAGAGCAACATTTCCCAGACCACCCTATGTTTTGCCTCAAAGTCAGCCAGTCTCTCCCCATTTGGCAGAAGAAATCCCATAGTTTTTTACGCTGGATCCAAAAGCAACAGTTAGGCTCGTAGGCTCACAGGCTCTCATAGGTTCGGTAAATGTGTATAAAGGATGTCATCCAGGCCACAGGGCTATACAGTCAAGGCTTCTCCCAAGAGCTAGGAAATTAAGGAATTAAGAACTGTCTTCTCAGAGTGTTAAACTATTAGATCAACGTGTAATGAATGAGCAGGAAGACAGGCTAAATCCCCAAGGGGACTTCGAGATATCCTACTCAGTGAGGGTTAATTGCAGCCACACTGAATGACCCCGCTATAGACAGAAAGGAGGGGGGCGTCCAGCATGTAAACCCCGGCAGGGACCCTCCGTGCTCTAACTCTGGGTAGTGGGCCGTGTGCACGCTGGCTGCTGTATGCCACAACAGGAGCCCCCGGGGGGGTTGCCCTCATGGCTCCCAGTGCCATGTTGCTGTCACGTTGCTGTGCTCTCACTGGAGAGGAATGACTTGGTGCACCCCCCCCCCACCCCCGCCCAGTCCCACTAACAACCGATTGTCTCCTTGTGATTTAATAAACCCGCTTTCCTGTTGTTCACAGTGTTCACTTGATACATATTCATTGAGCACTCGTGCTAGGTGCTGGGGACACAGCAGAGAACAAGTCAGTCACAGTCATTGCCCCAGCAGAGGCTACAGTCTCATGGACACCAGTCTCACACCCTTGATCAAGTGTGCCTGCTGGCAGAGAGGAGACAGGCTCAGGGCCTGGAGCAGGTGTGCCGAACCCCATAGGCTGGGCTGCCCCGAATGGACGGTCCTCAGAGAAGCCTGCCGGCGCCTCCCCAGACAGCAGGCCTCTCTGCAGGGGATGATGGCCCATCTGCAGTTGCCTTTCTTGCAGCTCCCACTAACTAAAGAATAAAACATGCAATCAGCCCTCCAGGCAGGGAGAAACCCCAAAGGGCAGGCAGTGGCTCTACTCGGCCTAGGTGTGCATTCAGCTTGGGCTCTAAGTCGGTGGGAGACTTCTCTGAGCGGAGGGAGCATTTCCCCTTTCCCGCTATCCCTACCCAGGCCCAGGTCACATGTCCCCGGAAAGGCTGGTTAGACGGTGAGCAGAGAGCCCTGAGATCAGAGCAGACCTGTTTCCTGTCTCTGGACGGGACCACTGCCCTCCCTGCGCCCACAGGAGCGGTAGGGCGAGGAAGCAACAGCAGCGAGGTGGCTGAGCAGCCCGTCCGGGGCTCTGATCCAAGATTTCTGCCCTTCTAGTTTCTTCCTTTCCTCTGCTCCACCGCACCCACTCAGCACGCGCGCGCTCACACACACGCACAGGCGCGCTCACACACAGGCACACGCGGCGCTCACACATGCACATGCAGGCGAGCTCACGCACATGCACACGCGGGAGGGCGCGCGCGCGCGCGCACACACACACACACACACACACACACACAGGCTTGCACAAGATCTCCATCCTTTGCCTCTCTGCACGGCCAGAAGCACCCCTAGTACCACCAGCCCGGACGCGGCAGGGAGGGAGCGCGAGGGAGGGGACAGCTGCCCGCCCCCTCTCCTCGGGTGCTCTCCGCACCTCCCAGATCCGATTCATTCAGAACCGCTGCGCCCCGGGCCGCCCGGGAACCCCGCCCCACCCTCCCGCCCCTCCCGCCTTTGCCTGGGGCCCTTTAAGTCGGTTATTACACGTTGTTACACAGAGTCCTCCGTCCTGGGGCAGAAGGGGAGGAGAAGCGGGGGAGAGAAGCGGGCGGAGGTAGGAGAGGGGGGAGAGACGGAGGGGAGGGGGGAGCGCGCGCGAGAGAGCGAGAGCGTGAGCAGAGCCTCTGGCTGCCGGAGGAAGGGAGTGACTGAGGGGCTGGCGCGGGAAGGGACAGGATGGCTTAGCCTCTGGCCACAGGACCCCACGCCAGGGAGAAGCTCTAGGCGGACTCCGAGGCTGTGGTAATGGCTGGGGCTGGAGGGTCCCCGCGAGGGCCCTGAGCGCCCCTGCACCCAGAAGTTAGCATCAGTGGGACTTGGAAGCTCCCATCTCAACAAGTAAGTTGCCTTCTTTTCCTTCTGCATTTTTAACCCCCGCCACTGGTTCTGGAAGGCGGGATGGGTACCCTCAAGGTGCCCCTTGCCCCTGGCGGTTAGCTTTTGCCAGGCATCTGCCACTTTGGGAGCCCACGGGGACAGTGGAGGGCTGAGGGCCGGTTTAAAGTTCAACCAGGAAATCCGAGCTCCCCAGAGCCGGCAGGTGCCCCAGGCATTGGGAGTTCAGTCTTCAGAGGGTTGTAAACATCTCAGTGCAGGTGCTGCAACAGGGTTACCTGGGGAGGGGGAGGGGGAGGGTCCCCAAACCCCACCCCCCACCCCCCTGCAGTGGAATGAGAAGCCAAGGCAGGGTGGGGGCATCATCTACCCCCCACCCCCTCCCCGGGGTGAGGGTTCTGCCTTCATACCCGGGTGTAGAGGGCTGGGGGGAGGCGGCCAGCTCCCTCAGCTTTTGACTCTCAGCTGACTCTTGCTTTCTTTTAAGTCTGGCCACATTGGAAACGTGGCCTTGCTCTTTCTGCTCTCCTTGCCACCTGGTCACTTCCTGGAAGCTGGCAGGGATGGCTCCTGGGACCAGGTCTGGTCCCCAAAGTTCCAGGGCCTACTCTAAACACCAGGTCGGGGAAGGCTAGCCCAGCACCTGTTCTGAGAGCCCTCTGGAACACCAGAAGATCAACAGGCACATGACTGTTTGCTCTGTGTCAGAATGGGCCAAGCGCTTTGCTCTCTTTTGATCCTTTTAATGGAACCAATATTCACATCTGCCTTCTCGGGCTGAGAAGCTGCAGCTACGTGGGGCTGTGTAACTCGCGGGAGGTACCCAGCTCACAAGTGAGATTCTCACCTGGCCCTGACTCCAAAATGTACCTTTTTCTCACCGCTAAGCTAACCACATCATAGGGCTTTCTGGTTCACAAAGCACTTTTCCCAGTGGGAGAGAAGCAGTGAAAAAAAAAAGCTAATATTTATGGAACCAAGTACTGAGCCAGACACATTCACATGAGTTCATCTGGATGCCTGTCCCGCGGGGTGGAGGTCATTCGCCGGCTTTACAGATGAGACCACAGCTTTAGAGTTCTGAGCGGGAATAATGGCAGAGCTATTATCCCCTAAACCCTTGTCCTCCGACTTCAAAGCCAGACTCTTTCCACTATTAAACAGTAACCCCGAAAGGTACGCTGGCCTTCCCAATCCGTACCTTTTCCTCAAAGCCGGGCGTAAATCCTATCAGCTGGCTGATGAGGCTCTGGGGCGCCCTAGAATCTGGTGGAAGAACCAAGCAGGGTGTGGATGGTGTGGAAGTTAGGGGGAGGAGGCCTTCGTTTGGGCTCTGGCACGAAAAGCTTTGTCACCTTGCCTGGGATTTTAAACTATTGATCTGACCCTAGATGGCCTCACGCACTCAGGGTGCATGCTTCTTGGCCGTAATATTAAGGAATTGTCGTTTATTGAACGCTGACTACGTGACACTGGGCATTTTGTGTATGCGATGGGATTGTCTCTTCTTCCATCGGCTGTTTCTCCTACTTTCCCCTTCTCACCTCTTCCCATCCCCTGTACCATTCTGGACCCAGACAATCTGAAACGGAGTTCACAGAGTAGAGACTTACAGCCCGAGGCTGGAAAAAGACAACCTTTTTTTACCTTGGAAGGAGTATGTTGGGCCATTTGTTATGTGTTTATTACTTGTCAGGCTCTGCATATTAATTATGAGATTGATATTATGTTATTACAGCAGCCTAAATTATCAGAACAGCACCAGGGTCACCACCGAAGGGGGAAACATCACATAGAGAGCGTGTCTGCACATTCCACAGTCCTCCCTATCTCCCCGAGCCGTGTTCTAGATACACTATCTAGCTCTCTGGCTGAAAGGGGACCACTCACACAGACTTCTGTCCTCTCCAAAAGCCACTACAGTCTGCCAGTACTCCTCGCAGGCAACATGTCTTATTGAAGTAGCACGCCTGCATTAGACACGGGATGAATGAACTAACTCCATCCAGCAAGCAGTGGGGACAGGATAAGCGATAAGCGTGAGCAAGGAGAAAGGGCTGGTCCGAAAACTCTGCTGCCTTCTCTGGGGATGCAGGCAGATCTCAGCGGGATTTCCCAACATGGGCACCCCTGAGTCTGCGGGCACATGCTGAGCAGAGCCCAGCTCTCCCACTGTGGAAACATCAGCATGGCTCTGTCACAGACATTCTCTCTGCCCCAGTGTCCCCGGCCGGCTGAGTGGCAGCATCCCTTTGGGGCTTCCTGCAAATGCCTGCCGGGGTTTCCTGTCCAGAAATTCAGGAGACTCCAACACTGCCGTAGTCCCCTGTGATGGAGTTAACCCCACAGCAGGGAAGAGACAACCAGATCGTCCATTCTCCACTTAGCATTTGCTCTGAAAGTGACCTAGTTCCCCATGCCTTCTGTGGGCAAAGCCACAAATAGGTGTGCTGGGCGCTCACGTACTTGAAAATGGCATCTACTTCAGCTTCTTGTTTTTAAATCAGTTCAACAACCATTTATTTGATCACTTAGCATGTGCCAGGAACAATTAACCTTTGAGAGCCTTGGAACGTGGTCCTTCAGGCAGGGTTATGCCTTCCACGTCGGAGCATGAGAGCAAAAGCTTGCATTTTCTGGGCAATACTGATTGAGTATTTCGGCTGGGGGTGGGAGTACCCTGGGGAGAAGGGAGGAGTCCATTCGGTGGTTTGAAGGAGCCATGTTTAGATTCAAATTTTCACTGTGTCTGAGCTACAGGCAGGCCATTGAGAGCTGGCAGCGTTTCTAAGAGAGGGGCCATCATCAGATGTCTCCTGAGACAGCTGTCAGCCATGGAGGAATTTTTCTCTTTTTCCTAAAGAAAAGATAAGAAGCATGGGAGATCAAACACAAAGGAGTGTAGTGAGGCATTTGGAACAAACAAACAAACAAACAAACAAAAACCACCTGAATGTATTTCTCTAAGAGACTTGTGGGTGGCTTTCTCTGGGATTATTTGGAAACGGAGGGGACGGCTCCCCCTTCCTGAGACCCTGGCTGCTGAGGAACGGGGCCATGTCCCTGCCAGTGCAGCAAGCTTATCTAGTTCCTCCTACCTTGACATTCTGATAAGTGAGCTATTCTAGTCAACAGAGCCCCGGATGGCAGCAAGCCTTGCCAACAACCGTGTTAACTTAAATGTCAGAGCCAAACCTTTAACACATGACCCTGGAGATCCTGGCTGGTGCGCAAATGTTAAGCTCCGTTATCATTCCAGGCCAGAGCACGCTGAGGGGCAAAGGTCAGGGATAACCCGACCAGTCGGTCAGGTGGCAACAGCGCTTCCGGGTCACCGAGGGTCAACCCATATGGCGGCCAGAGAGGCTGGTGGCCGGGGGTGGAGAAATAAATGCAGAAGGAGGGAAGGAGAGCCCACGAAGGGCTTTCAAACTCTCATTCTCCCCAAACTCTCATCCTCAAACTTGGTTGTTTGAGGCTGGGTGTGCTGTCCGCCTCTTTGTCCTGTCCCACATCTCAGGCTTCTTACTGTAATATGAGGTAGGCCCTAATGCCATCTTCCTACATTATTTCTTGCTGCTCAAAACGAACAGTGAGGAAGTAGGGCAGAGAAGTACCATCAGGGGGTTGAACCCGTGTCCTGTGTGTTTTGCCCTCCGAGTCTGTCCCTCCCAAGATCGTGCTGTTGAGCACTGGATGCCCAGAGTCTGGCCGGGAGGAGAGTCATAAGAGCAACAGAGACTAGGTCCTGCCTCCTTTCCAGGAAGCTGGCCATCCAGCAGCGATAACAGACCCTACAGGTGCCCAGGTTTATAAGAGCCCCTTACGAACCAAAGTTATGCCAGTCAGCTAACCTGGACTATCACAGAGCAACCCCACTGGACAGTAAGGTATGTAGGCCTTACAGCGCCAGTCAGGGTGCCTGAGTCACTTTGGAAAGTGTCTTTTATTGGACGAACTTAAATGTCACTCACGTATTCCTTTAAAAATGCATATGGAGGAGCCCCTGGGTATCTCAGTTGGTTAAGCGTCCCACTCTTGGTTTCGGCTCAGGTCATGATCTCGCAGTTTCGTGAGTTTGAGCCCCGTGTAGGGCTCTGTGCCGACAGTGCGGAGCCTGCTTGGGATTTTTTTCTCTCTCTCTCTTTCTCTCTCTCTCTGCCCTTCCCCTGCTCACGCTATCTCTGTTTCTCTCAAACTAAATAAATAAACTTAAAAATATAATAAAGATATAAAAATAAAAATGTGTATGGAGCTCCTACCACAGGCCAGACCCTGTGTAGAAACCTTCGCTACAAGATTGGGTCATTGACACACCCTGCCTGCCCGACCTCTGTTGACTACCCGAGGAAAGCAGACGTGTCCATGAATACCTCGCGGCATCAGAGCAAAGAGCCATCACAGTGAGGCAAAAGGGCCTAGGGAAGGCCAGGGAGAAGCAGGAAAGCTTTCCAAGGGGGCTCAAAAATTCAGTGAGGTGGAAGAGAGGAGGGAGCCCAAGGAAGGAGCCCAGTTCCAGAGGCCCTGAGACTGACCTGGAGGGGGGCAGGGTGGGGAGGGGCGGGGCTTGCATTTGCACTGGTCCTTCTTCTCATCCATTCAGATTCCCCCTGAATCTTTACCTTAAATGTTCACTCACTCAACAAAACAACATTTCCCTCACAGCCAAGATCTCTCATGCTGCCCCTTTTTATAGCCACGCCTACTTCCCTCCGGTCCCACCTCTTCCTCACCCCCTGGCAGCCATTAACTTGCCCTCATTTCTAGTTTTTTTTTTTATTTTTTTTATTTTTTTTTAATTTTTTTTTAACGTTTATTTATTTTTGAGAGAGAGACAGAGCATGAACAGGGGAGGGGCAGAGAGAGAGGGAGATACAGAATCGGAAACAGGCTCCAGGCTCTGAGCTGTCAGCACAGAGCCCGACGTGGGGCTCGAACTCACGGATGGTGAGATCATGACCTGAGCCGAAGTCGGACGCCTAACCGACCGAGCCACCCAGGCG